TTACGACCTACGTTTGCATTTTGTTTCCTCACCAGTCTGCTCTCTGCATGTAAACACAGCCTGCATCATCTGCTGGTAGCAGGCGGGTCACTGACGGTCGACATACACACATTTATTTTTTATTTTTTATTTTGTACAGAATGTGGTGTAAACATGTTTTTTTTTGTTTTTTTTTTTAAACTGTTTTAATGAGAAATATAGAATAAAGTGTTTTGAATGAAAAGTAATTTTACACCTGATTAGTTCAAAGACCGTGGGAATTTGAAATTTTGGTGATTCTTTCAGTGTTTACAGTTTCTGGCTCTAATTTGTGTCATTTAGGCCAGTGGTCCCCAACCACCGGGCTGCGGACCGGTACCGGGCCGCACAGATAGAATAAAAACGTTTTATTGGTTTATTTTTATTTCCAGCGGAGTCTGCAGGGTGTTTTATTTTGAAACATGACTAGCTCGTCTTCCTGTCACTTGACTGTCAGTTTTTATGCCCGGCTGCTAAACGAAGCCGTCAGTCAACAACAAACGTCTCAGTAGAGCTGCTTTGGAAATGGGAAGAGACTCGATACTGAGACAGAGAAAAAGTAAACATGTTATATAAAAAAGTATAAAAAGTCGACACTGAAAAAGTAATTTTATTTATTTATGAAACTTTTCAATAGAAAAAAAAAACAATTATTATTTGTTATGTGCGTAATGACCGGTCCGTAGAAAAATTTCTTGCTTAAAACCGGTCCGCGGTGCAAAAAAGGTTGAAGACCGCTGATTTAGGCAATTATTATGATTATGAGTATGATGATGATTACTGTTGTTATTCCTATTGTTTAATTTATTTCATTTTTTAATGTTTTGTATAGATACCATCTCTACAAGTATCAGCGTTACTATTTCTGAACACAAGAATGACTCATCCGTGGGTAATCTGAGACTGCATGACTCACAGGAAGTAATATTAACCTCCTTAAAAAGGTAAATAATGAGTGCATGCACAATAAGTGCAGAACAACAGACCCATACATGCTATTTATTTCTGTCAGATTCCCTCTGTGAGACTCTCGAGAGATGATTGAGCATCTCAGCTGAGTTTAATAATGTTTTATTTTTTACAGTCACCCACACAGCATATCAGTTACATGGACGAGCTGCACTGACAAGTAAAGATAAGAGTCTCAGTGTGGTGGTACAGAAAGTTCTGGGAGGCTCAGTTGTTCCTACAGAGAGTCAGGATTTGTCACAGCTTTCTGCTCTTTGAGATTATGAAATCTAAAACAAGTGGAGGTGAGATCCTGATGGTCTGATGGACGCAGGAACGTTCTCAGTCTAAATCATGTTCTTCAGGATGTTTGTCATTTATACACATTTTAATGTAAAACTAATAGAGCTCATCCGTTATATCGATGGATCACATTATATGAACATTTTAGGGTGTTTCTATTTTCTGTTTATTTTTTGGTCTGGCCTCTGTCTAAGTACCAGAAAGTAAATTTGATAATTGACCTGTAATTTAGTGACAAAGTGTGCTGGTAATGCCGAGTGGCTAACATTAACATAATTACACACTCCACTTGTTGTTCTGATCAGACTGTTCCCACTTCTGTCACCGTGTGTGTGTGTGTGTGTGTNGTCTGCTGAAGTGTTTTATGATCCTTCATACCTGCATTTCACCACATTTCAGAGGAAAATATTGTATTTTGTCCACTGCGTTTATCTGACAGCTCTTTTGAGACGAACATTTTACACAATAGATGCTTTTAAAATATAACACATCGCTAAAGACTAAACCAGCGGTTTCCAATATTTCTACTGAAAGCAGTCGGACTCACATTTCAGACGAGTTGTTAAAAGCTCCACCAGACAGCGATTTCTTTATCCCTCTAAACTTTTTGTGTGGTTTAATTTCAATAAATGTTCCAATGATCCAATATCTCAGCAAGAATAACAGATTAGAGAGAAACTGAAAACAGATGTGTGTATCAGAGCTTCCCTCTTATTATTCACAGAATGAGCCCTTAGATTTATCTGCTGTCCCTGTAAATAAACCTGGATATGAAGTTGTTTAAAGCAGCTCCACCTGCAGCAGCAACACGTTGATGATTCATCATCCATCTAATCCTATTGTACAATCTAATGATGGCGTACGGTTCACAACAACGTACTTTTACTTAAGGAGGATTTGTGATGAAGTATTTTTAGAGTTCTGTAAAGAATCTGAACACTGTTGGAGTCTCTGGATGGACATCTCCCAAAATGCATTCATCTTATTTGCTGCTGGTCTTAAGCTAAAGCAAACGGAGGTGGTCTGGGAGTGACGTCTGGAGTTGGTGAGTGTTCACTGTGTTACTGCAATAATTAACACACCAGTAATCAGTGCCTTTTCTGCTAAACTGAAAATGGACACGGACACAATAATACCTCAAGAACAAACAGGGGCAGAGTCTACAGCCTGATAAAGAAAAAAAATAAAGAAGAACTGGACTTTACTGAATTAAAGTAGACTAAAACTAACAAGACCTGTTGTAAAGTCAGTAGGGGCAGAAAAAACTTCCAAACACTGAAGTGCTGTTGTTGCTTTAAGACGGGACTTCAGTGGGTTTCGTACTAACCTGGGTTCCTCCTTCCTTTCAGGTATCCCACAACGTTGTAAATCTTCTTGTAGGACAGCTGGTTTCCCACAGTCAGCGTTATCTTCTTTCGCTCTGGGAAAAGAAAGAGGATAAAGTTTAGAACGAGCTTCGGTGGGAAAAGAAAAAAAAAGGGACATTCATTGTTACTGATTTTAAACTTGATCCTAAGATCGGCTAGTTTGAAATGATAATGTGATATTTCAGTGGTTTCCTTCCACAAGCTTCTCACAACAGTCTGATGAGTTCTGGTCCATTCCTCCTGACAGAACTGGTGGAACTGGGTCAGGTTTGTTGGTCTTCTTGCTCCACTGATGTTCTCCAGGATGGAGATCAGGGCTTTGTGATGGCCACTCCACAACACTGACTCTGTTGTCCTGAAGCCTCTCTGGAGCTAATCTGGCGCTATGCTGAGGGTCATTGTCCATCTGAAGACCCATTAGTGTCCAAGCTGTAACTTTCTGCTGATGTCTGGAGATGTTGCTTCAGTATCTCCACATCATGTTCTTTCCTCATGATGCCATCTATTGTGTGAAGGTCACCAGTCCCTCCACAGCATGATGCTGCCACCCCCGTGCTCCACAGCTGGGATGGTGTTCTCAGGCTTCAAGCTTCCTCCTTTTCCTCCAGATGTACCGATGGTCATTAAGGCCAAACAGTTCAGGTTTAGTTCCATCAGACCACAGGACATGTCTCCACTGATGAAGCTCTTTGTCCCTGTGTGCATCTACAGACTGTAATCTGTCTTTTCTATGTTTCTTCTGGAGTGATGTCTTCTTCCTCTCTGAGCAGCCTTCCAGCCCATGTCGGTACAGGACTGGTTCCACTGTGGATAATGACTCTCTGACCAGCTTCAGCAGCATCTTCACAAGGTCTTCAGCTTCTGTTCTGGGGTTGATTCACACATTTCAACCAGAACACTTCATCTCTGGACACAGAACCGTCTCCTTCCTGAGCCTATGATGGCTGGACATTCCCATGGTGGTTATACTGATAGAACTGTCTGAACAGATGAACGTGGAACCTTCAGGCTTCTGGAACCAGACTGGTGGAGGTCCACGGTTCTCCTCCTGATATCTTGGCTGGTTTCTGTGGATGTTCCATGTTGTCACAGAATGCAGCAGTGTGTTTGAGGTGTGTCTTAAAATACATCCACAGCTGTGTCTCCAGTTAACTCAGATGTTGTCAGTTAACCAATCAGAAGCTTCCAAAGCCATGACATCATCATCTGGGCTTTCCCAAATAGTTTGAAGACATCTTAGTGGATGTAAACTTCTGACTCTGAAGAAAGTAATAAAAAATCCTCTCTCTTATTATTCTGGTGTTTAGCAAATAGAAGTAATGTTGGTGATCCTGACTGACCTGAAACAGGAAAAGTTTAGTTTGATTTAACGTCAGACAGAGAAAAAAAATGGTTGAGTGTCTTTTTATACGGTGGAAGTAAATTTGTGGTTTCAGCTGTATGTCATCCAGAAAAAAAAGGCCATCCAGACAGAAACAGACGGGTGAAGAGGTTCTGCTGTGATTCAAAGATTACATTTTCAGACTAACAAGCCGCCGTACAAACCGAAGCAGGCAGGAGGGAAAACAAACTGAAATCAAGGGAAAGTGGTGCTGAGCAGTCTAAGAGCCACGAGTGGTGTGTTCGGGTCAAAAAAGGTCCTCAGATGCAGGTGGAAATATCAAGCAAACCATCGTCCAATCAACTGGTTATGCAGCTTTGATGGACTGGTCCATTCAGGCAACCCTGGGAGTCCATAAAAGCTTGGGCTTGTTTTTTTTTTCCTCCATTTGTGAATGTCTAGAATGAAGCTTTTCAAAACTTCAATCAGGGACATTATGTCTTGCTAACACAATATATTTTCAGTACATTCACTTTATCTCTCCAAATGATCTCAGATGAACACAACTCGTAACGCTGCACATGTTTTACTACTTGAGGAAAAAGTCAAAGGGGTTTTTGGAAACACTGAGTTTATTTTCAAGACACAAGAGTTCGTCAGGCAGAACGATGGATTCTGAATTTAGAGTCATGGATTCAAATACTTCCCATCACAGTCATATCCTTCAATATATCACAGAAAAACAACACATCTCAGTGTCGATTTCTTTCCGACATCACGCAGACCTAATAGTCGGCCACATTCAGCGCCATCTCAGACCCACTGACGGGAAGTCGACTATAAAAACCTCCAACAGGAAGCCTGCATCACTGCTGATTCACTGTGAACGTACAACACGGTGTTTTCATGAAGCGCACTCCGTTCTGTTTGACTACCTGTGCATTTAGTCGTGAACCGCTCAAACTAAGACAGACAGATGACAGCAACTTAAAGGTCACGCTGTGTTTAGGATGGAATTATCCTCCTCTGTGGTCTGGAAAGCCGCAGACACGATCATCTGGTTGTAAAATGTTGTTCATCTACAGGAACGTATGCAGAAGCCGGCAATGGTTGTGGCTACAAACAGAATAACTGATGAAGTTGGGTGTCAGAAAGACCTTCTCTCCTCGTGCCTGACTCGTCACACCCGCTGAATGAGCCAATCACTGTTTGCTGCTGTCATTTTAAAGCTGTTCCTCTCTCTGCTGCCGTCAGCTGTCATTTCAGGGTCAGATCGATGCAACCCTGCTCCCCCCGTTCACCTCCAGTTTGGACTTTCTGGCCCACGGGTCCTTCCAATAAGTCCGTCATTAGTCCAGCTCCACATTACATCCATCCAGATTGCCTGCATCATTCTCCACCCCTGCTCCAGGCTCCATTAGCAGGATATTCCTGTAGAGCTCGATATATGGCTCAGAAGGATGATATCACGATG